GTAATAAGAATTCTCTCTAGCTAAGGTGTGAATCCGGCCTGGGTGGATTAAAATTTATTTCGCAAGGGACCTACAGAATGAATCTCGACCTTCCCACCGTGGTTAGAATAAGTTTTTTTCCCCTCATTCCTCCGTATGTCAGTAATGATGAGATAGAGGTTAATCAGGAAAAAAAAGTTTCATAATTACTTATTTTGGATTGTGAACATATTTCACTATGTAATAAATGTTTATATAAAAGACAACTGTTCATTAAAGTTGCATATTATAGATGTATCTTTTGAATATTTGATCCATCTTTCGATTGGGAAAATGGAGAAGATTATTCAATTAATAATTTTACTTTAAAACATGTATCATTTGTCTTTTTTGTTCAGGATATTTTTTTTTATAATATCTGTAACTTAATCTAATACATAAATTTAATAAATAAATAAATACAAGTTTATTTACAAGATATTAATAGCTGACGGAACCGGCGCTAGGTCGCTACACTTCCCGCAATACTCAACATATTCCTGGCAGTCCACAATTTACGTCACGCAGCAAAATGGAGGTATTTCGCATAGCGTTACTATCGTGACTTGATGTCACGTATTTGTTAGTGAAATGTTTATCCAAAATATCACGTTATTCATTTCTTATCTATTTTATCACTCAGAAACATACTTATAAATTTTATCATTCAAATGAAAGCTATAAATATCAACTAAATTAACTAGGATCATTTGCCTTATACAAATAAATTAATCAGAAATCAAATATATATATATGTATATATATATATATATATATATATATATATATATATATATATATATATATTAATAGAACCTTAAATATTATATTTTAAAATAATTATTCCAATCATTAGGTCATTTAACTATAAGTTAACAATCTGGATTAATTTTAGTGTTTATTCTTTTTTATTAGGCGACGTTTCCATCTCGTATTTTATTATAAAACTATAGGATCTTCTTCATCGCTCGAAAAATAAATAGCTATTGGGACAAAAATACAAGTTTCTATATGTTTCAATCAATAATTAGGGCTAAAAAAATTTAAATACAATCAGAGATATAATATTATACGACAGATAATGGTTAAAAATAAAAAAATATAGTGATTGATGATACATGGTCCTTAAATAATATTACAAATGAAATATGTAAAAAGTTATACAAACTAAAAATTATGTATATAATCAATTTATAAATTTTTTAATATTTTCTCTTAATAACCGTGGTTCGAGCACTGGAGGTATTCAAGTACAGACACTTTGGTAGGTAAGTGAAAGGGTCGGGGGAGGATTTCCCAGTTGTGCTTTTTCAGGTAGCAAAATGTAGGTAAACATAGTCAGAGGGGGGAGGGAGAGGTAATATTTCTGTTTGTACAATGCAAATAATTTGCTGAATAAATATCCAAGATGTGTACAAGATTTGCGTTGTTTCTTATAGTTACAGAATTGTGACTATTGGCTAGTAATGAAATGAACATAAGCAAGAGGTGTTAATAATTATAAACATAACATAATTTGATTGAAGGTATACAATAGTCAACCAAATAATGTTTATAATACAGAGAATTGTAATGGATTGAAATGATTATAAATTTGTTTATTTTATAAACTGATTATATACATTATTTTTAGTTTGTATAATATTTTACATATTTCATTTGTAATATTTTTTATTATAATATTAATTAAGATTCATGTACCATCAATCACAATATTTTTTATTATTAACCATTATCTGTCGTATAATATTATATCTCTGATTGTATTTAAAAAATGTCATGATGACCCACATGTTTGGGTTGAAACGTCGACACTAATAAAAACTTCATAATGACTACGTCCTGAATATTTATCACCCTTTATATATATAGATATATATTACTATAAAAAGGTTATGATTATAGTTTATGAATGAACTACAAGCATTGATGACTTGAGAGTTTAACGCTTCTAAGCCAAAACTCTCAACTTCTAAACGAAAAAGAAACCAGAAAGAATATTCTGTAAATAAAAAACCCCGAAGACACACAATCAAATATATAGAAATAATGACCAATAATACTACTAAAAAACAAGAAATACAAAATACTACCAAATAAGGTCAGAATATTTTTCTAACTTTTTTCTATTGATAACATGATTATATACAATTCAAGGTCAATGATTTGTCGTTAGAAAAAAAAAATGTTGGAAAAGCAGTAACTTAAATATAAGCTGGAGAAAGAAAATATATTTGCGCAGGCATAAGCATAAAAATACATTGTACTTGATAAAATTTATATTAAACTATTTGTATTTTTACATCAGCCTTCAACTTTCCTTCAATGCTGAGCCAAATTAAATGATCTATTAAGGAATACAATTATGATTTAAGGAAAATACGTTTGCGCATGCGTGGGCAAAGGTAGAGATAGATTATTATTTATTAGTATAACATTTTAGCTTTCGAAGGAAACATTTTTTTTCCAATTCCAAAATGAATATAAAAGGAAACAAAATGAATAGAGAAAAAAAAAAACTTGTGAACGTATTGTGAACATGTGTCGAATTGTACATCCATTTCTAGGATCTAGTTCCTTAATTATAGAAATCAAAATTATAACTCTGCTAAAGCTGCGAAGATGGAAAATTCAGATTGCATCACTTTCACGTCACGAAAATAAAATAAAATATTAGATGAAGTGACAGGTTACCTGAGAATTGAGATATGAGCCCCTCTTGGGCCTCAAGCTCCAACTGCATCATATAAGAGACACGACATACTCATGATCCCTTCACTCCATGTGTGGCCGATAATAATAACACTTCATTAGCCATAGTTTAGGCTGGATCACGATCCGCGGTAACGAGCCGTATAATGCGCTAAGTATCGTTTGATACGTAATATGAAATTCAAAGAGCTATGAAAAAGAAAAAAAAATAAGGCATACGCTTAGCATAATGGGAGGTCTTCAGAAAAAAGAGAGTAATAAGTCAGCGTATATCTACTGGCCGATCTCTTTATGTCGAATACGTAACAATCATCATTATAGTCAACTGTTAATTACTTGTTGTAAAGTTAATTAATTAATACTAAAGTAATTACTTCGGATAATCAGTCATTGTGGTAATAAATATTTTCCGGTTGACGATATATTTTTATATCACTCTTTCATATGTTCAAACGGTGATTAAAAACCTTTCTTTTCCTACTGAATTTTTTTTTCTTAGAACTCGTTAACTGATCGAAGAGAATTGATAGGAATAGGTTAAATAAATTAATATTCGATAAAGTGATGAGACTGAAGAACATCAAACGATATTCAGAATAAATAAAAGAAGTAGAAAAAATGAGAATCAGAGATTTCCAAGATAAAAAAAAATCGGAAAAAAGTTCTTTTAGTGGAGAAGAAGAAGCAAGAAAGTAAATAATGGACAGAGGAAAGAAAGAGGGAAATGGGATAAAAAATGAGAAGTATGTGGGCAAAGAAGAAAAAAAAACAGAAATTACAAAAGCGTGGCCCATAGTTGGCCTGTATCGTCATAAATAAATAATGTATATACATTATTTCTTTTTGGTTTATTAGTATAACTGCGTATTTCATTTTCCTCTGCTCTTTTCCCACTTAGCAGACTACAAAATGTCATCTTTAGCGCAAAAGGAATAAACATGTAAAATTGTTACATATGACCTTTTGCACTAACAGTAGCAATCTCACCGTTTGCTATTGCAATTGCAAATTGCTATTACGGTGAGATAGCGGCGATCCTCATAGCCTTAAGAACATTGTCTGGAAGGCGGGATCAGAGCGCTGTTCTCTTCATCGACTCTCAAGCAGCCATCCTTGCTGTCACAAGCACGAATGAATGTTTATCGAGTGCTATATTGGAATGTAAATCCCTCCTCTCTAACCTGACACACCGAGGCACCAATGTGGTCCTACAGTGGATCCCCAGCCATTGTGGGATTCCGGGTAACGTTGAGGCTGATATTCTTGCTAAGCGAGGAACAGATTTGCCTCAGCCGATACATCCAAAACCTTACGACTCAATACGGCGAATGGTGAAGATGGTAGTGAAGGAGGAAATAAGAAAAGTACATTTCGGCAAAGTGGAAGGGAAGCGTTACGAGTGGTTGAAGGATAATCCGATTCCAGCTGAGCTGCCGAGAAGAGATGCAGTTGCCTGCTTCCGCCTGGCTACTGGTCACGACTATCTGCAGAGTCATCTCTACAAGATAGGCGTCGCTGAGGATCCTAGTTGTAAATTGTGTCATCTAGGAACAATGGATGCAGACCATCTAGACGCATGTCCTGCCTTGAGGGACATAAGAGACAAAATATTTCCGAATATACATATAAGAAAGTCTAAATTATACTGGGCAGCAAGATGTCGGATGGCCAAATGACCAACGACTGGCATAAGAAAAAAAAAAAAAACTAACAGTAGCAATATATATATATATATATATATATATATATATATATATATATATATATATATATATAAAATCAACAACCTCAACAAACTCCAAAAATTTCAAAATTGTATTAACAGTAGTAGTGATATGCTCGTCATATGGATTTGACAACAAGATACATAGATAAACTTAGAACTAAATTTGTTCTTAAGTGTCTAAGACTTGTATATATATATGTGTGTGTGTGTTTCAACAAAAATTTTGTTAACCTCTCATAAAAATACAAACAGGAACCATACCTCCGATTTCTTAGCTTTTTTGTTTCATGAATTTTTGTACCGAAAGTAGAACAGCATAGTTTCTATGATATGAGCCCCTACATTATTAAGATGAAATGCCGGCCTAAGATAAGGTATAATTTATATCAAGCACCATCATTCGTGATCCTCCAGAACGGAAGAGCTGACCTCGGAAGATGGCGAGGACGACCCCGAGAAAGGTCAGCGGCGGAAGATCGGTCAAGGGAAAGGATGGCATTGTAGACAAGAGTTCGGGGAGCTGGTCGTGTGACCTGGATCCCAGCTAGCCTTCTTCCCATTCGCTATCCTCGCATCTTATCCGTCCCCTCCTTGGCCCATTTGGAGGTGGTGCTCCGTTAGGGTGCTGATGATTGGCTGTATCTTTCGGCTCATCCAATATTGCCCGAATTTCCATAACATCAAGGCTACAAGGGAAGGGACATGCAAATCTTTTAAAATTTGAGATACGAAGATTGAGCAATTGTAATTCGATTTTATAAATCTATGAGAAACTTTCATAGACCACGATACGGATCCCTTTATATCAAATAATTAACACCCGCCTAAACCTTCGTAAATGGCCGCATATTATCGTAAACTCCAATATTTTCATCTACGAAATCTATGAGCCGTTTTCTCATTAAATTAATTAATTTAATAAGGTAATAAAAATTAATGAATATCCATTTGCTTTCTACTCGAATCATAAGATAATTTGGTAACGAAATCGAAGAGAAAAGTGGCCTATAGTAATGTTGGCGCTCCATTTCCGAGAATTTCCATAAATAAAAAAGTTGGAAGTTATGATAAGATACAGCCATTCACAAAGATTTATAAGGATGTTAATAATTTGATAAAATCAAATTTCGAATTTGATGTTAGGAAGTTTACGACGGGAAATAAAAAAAAATTAATTAAAAAATATTTTTAAAATTCTCAGATATGAACGATATTAATTGACTCATAGATGACCTTAATCCCGTCTACACATTAAAATGTTACAAGTTTTGAAAGTCGTTTTCGTTCAGAAAGTTTCCAAGATCTTTAGAGTTGCAACACATCTTTTTCATCTTACTTACCGGCCCGAAGTATTGCAATGGAGTCAAATGTTTTATGTCCGGTTTTCAACAGATGGTTACGTTTCAGAGCCTCCAGAGTTGGAAAAAACGCAATTAAACCTCCTAGCGCTAAGATTATCTCGCGAGCGATGACCGTGGTGTGCCAAAACGGCTCATTAGAATGATATTGATGAAACGTAAGTATAGTCTTCAACTTGAAAGTCCTTTCAATTATCATATATTTAGTAAATTCTTGAGATATTGATAGTAAATATTCTTTTATGGTAGATATAATTTTGTTACTTATAAACGCGTTGCTGTTGCTAGAACAAATTCTAATTCTGCGATGTGGACTATGACAGCGTTCTATGCATAAAACAAAATATATTTTGTAATATTTCTATGAATAAAAGGTGTAAATAAATCAAAATTAGTTTGTTTTTTTTCATATAGTCGTGTGGGATTATTATTAAATCTTGAAATTATTATAAAAATATCTTCATTAATTAAAATTCTAATTTCTAACTATATAATTCCGTGGAACACACAAAGGATTGAAAATCACTTAATGGTTTTAGATATTTATGTATGCTGTGGTTTACATGCACAATACTTTAATACAATTACAAACCTTGGTAAATTGTGTAAAAACATTTAATAAACAAGAAATATTTATAATTTACAATGTAATACATAATTATTACAATCTATATAAGTTATAAATCGTCATCATATCTCGGATAATGTTTTTTAAAACTACATTTGGGAACGGGGCAGCTTAATGGGTAAGGAACTGACTTCCTAGGCTCAGGGTTATGTCTTGCAGGGTTATAAGTCTTCATTTGCCAATTTAGTTAAAAAGAAAATTTAAAAAAATACTTCTGAGACTCATTGTTTATATTTATGATCGATAGCAATGTTAACTTTTATATCAATAGATAATAGAAAAGGTCTTTAAGTATAATTTAGCATGTAAGACACCTGAGAGACGAACAGAAAGTAAAAATTCCATTGACCAAGGCTGGAAGCCCTACAAGAGCCTGAAGACTAAGAAATTAAAATGGACTCGCCCATTTAGCCATTTTTTGTAGCCATTGTCCGACGAATGAAAGGCTCGACAAGCCTTGATAGTAACAAATGGAGGAGGGTGAATGGGGAGCCGTTGTAACCTCGTCCGGAGCTGGCGAAAAAAACTGGACACCTGGCTCTTCCACCTTCCGGGTATCTTCTGTCGGCATGGTCCGGATATCGGCCATCGGTTTAGATATTATCACTGATATGGATTCCATAATCATGACTACACGTTTACATTAATTATTAATATATTAGTCGTAGTTTAGGGAATAGCATAGCCTGACATTAATACTGTTATATCAATCGTGCTTCGATCTTGAGGTCGGAAGACCTCCAAGGGTACGCCCAGCATCTATTAACTTAACACCTTTATTGGGAGAAAACATGACGATTCTGCTTCATCATGCTCGTATCATTTTCTTACAAAACCGTTGGTCTAGCATCATGATACTTACTGGCTAAGCAGTAATTAGCGCGGCCAAGGAGCGAGATTATTAAAGCGTTGTCCGCTTTATCATTCTGGAGTCAAGCGGCACCGATTCGAATCCACCTTGTGTTAGTTGAAGTTAATTTCTTGGCGGAACTATGGAATGAATTGACTTCGACTCGACTCGACCTTCTCACTATGATTAGAATAGGTTTAGTGATACATCCAGAACAACTTCTTGAAGTAACCTTAGTGCTACAGTCCTATAGTACAAAAGGTCGCGGGGCCTCTGCCGTTTTTCCGGGCCAGTTTTAAGGATTATTTGTATCAAAAGATATTTTATTAAAAAAAAAAAAATTACTAAAAACCGACTGCCTTCTGACAATGATCACTCATGATATACAGAACAGTCGAACGTCTTCCTTCAATAATTTATTTATTTTTATCGGTGATAAATATGCATGACGCAGTCATTATAAAGTTTTTATTAATGCCGACGTTTTGAACCTACACATGTGGGTCATCATCAGTGCGTGTTTCGGGCACTGAAGGTATTCAAGTACTGACTCTTTGGTAGGTAACTCATCGACTTGTATTGTAATATTAGTTAAGATTCATGTGTCATCAATCGCTATATTTTTTATTATTAACTATTATCTGTCGTATAATATTGTATCTCTGATTGTATTTAAAAATTTTCAGCCCTGTTTGGTTTGATCCACAAGTTTGGGTTGAAACGTTGGCACTAATAAAAACTTTACAATTAGTGCTTCCTGAATATTTATCACCCATGATATGTAGAGCAGTCGACTAGCTTCCTTTTATTTTAAAAATTAAATTTTTTTTTTTACCTACTTGTTAAATATTTTAATATTTTATATTATCTTAATGATCGAGTACATAAAGATTAGTATGTGTATATACGTCCCTACGTCGGGCTAGGTAGGATGCAGTTGCCTATGTGGGACAGATAGAGAACGAGAGGAGATAGTGCAGCGATTATCTCATTAGCCTAAGCCCTAACCGGTCGAGCGGCCTCCTTCCACACTCCAAGCAGGTCACCGGTCACCGGTCACCGGGAACTGGCAGCAAGTACCTTTCCCTATATCTTATCAACCTCCCTTACCCAGGTCCAGTTTAGTGACCGGGTCAGTTTCGCTTGCCACCGCCTATATTTGTGGAATATTCAGTTGGCCTATATTCAGTAGGATATTGCACTAGGGATGGAAATCAAGAACCCATATTTATATACCAGAAGCTTATTTATTTTATTTATTAGTTGTACATATTTGTGGCTCACAATAAATTTGCCATCTACCTTGGTATTCAGCAAATATGATATCAAGGAGAAGAACAACAAAACAATAAGACAAAAAAAACAACAACAAAAAAACAAAAAAAACGTAGTAAAATAACACATACATTATAACATAATAACAAATACACACACAAAAAAGATAATGCAGCAAGTAGCTCAAAGCAATAAGTCTCTTGGCCACCGCCTCAGCAATCTTCTGGGCGGATTATATGGATTTGTAGCAGTAGAAAAGAGTAAGTGGATTGCAATTTAGAGTCAGTCTGTCATGAAAATTATTAAAGCGGTCAGTGGCAGTTGCAGTGATGAAAGGAGTGTTAAGGTCAGTGTGTAACGTGAGATTTGAAACGTAAAAGGGTGCGTCTACAATTTTCCGAAGGACTTTTGACTGGAATGACTGAATGATTTTAATATTTGATTTCTTTGCTGTTCCCCATAGTTCGATCCCATATGTCCATAGTGGTTTAATGAACCAGAAGCTTAAAAAAAAAAAATAATGATCATAATAAGCTTCTAGTTTATAAATACGGGTTGTTGATTTCCATCCCTAGTGCAATATCCCACTGAATATATATATTATTTTTTTGTATATTTTATTTATTGTACATAGAGTGTGAATGTGATATCTCTGAACACTGTTATAAATGTCCTTTGAGACAGATTGTAATTTTTTTCAATAAACAAGTTTAAAAAAAAAACTGGCAGTATCCTAACTATCTATCACGCATAAAATAAATAAATTTAAAAAAAGGACTAAGGTATGAACTTAGTATGAAGGTATGAACCCAAACGATAGAAGTGAAAACACAAAAGGCGAGATTAACAATATAAATTATAAATGATAGTTCATTATAAAGAGGATGAAATGCTGAACATTTCCCTCGCTTGTACGCAGGATACAGTATGCAGGTCCGATTTTTAGTTTCTGAGATATTTCACTCCATATCTTCCATAAAACTCGTTAACATTTAACATGATAACATTACAAAAAAAATAAATAAAAATAAGAACGACAAAATTATAATTGTCCCAAATAGAAAAATGATTTGGTCCATGGGTCTACTATCGGTTTTGGGAAAAAATCAAAAAAGTTTATGGAAAGTTCCATATAGGAGGAGCGTTGCTGGAAAACGCTACAGCGTTTCAGATCTTTTTTTTTCTTCAAAAATATATTTGACTGTTATTTTTTAAAAGAAAAAAAATTTAAAACAAAATATTTCTTTGGAGCATTTGTGTCTTTTCTTAGCTTTTATTGTTTAGCAAGACATTATGTTTTGGTTTGCGGTATGAGGTTGGTAAGTCATTAGTCCCAGAAAGCTAAGGTTTTTATTGTGACTTGGATGCAATTTTCATATAAATTCTGTCCTTATGAGATTTAATTGTTTTAAATCTGTCAGAAGATTCAGTCAGATATTCTCAGCAAGCATGGGTGTCTAAATTTACATGTTAATATTTTCAAAGTCGAGAATACAAAGAAACATCATGGTCTTAAAATCCAAATGAAAGTAAATACCTTATATTTATTCTTAACAGAAGATATAAAAGGAAAGTAAAAGAGATGATATAATTCTTTTTAAAAATAATTCTTATTCCTCTGATTAAATTTTTTAAATTGAATGACCTTGAATGAGGTATCGATAAACTTTCGTTTCAACGTTTAGGTTGAATGTATTATAAGTTAAATGTTATTTTAGAAATTATTAACTAAAACCGTGGGAAAAAAAATAAAAAGGACGAATTATGGTTTATCATAGGTTATTATACAAATATAATTAATTATTTACGGCTATAACCTCATGATAAAAAACTATATCATTATTATTATTACCCTATAAAAAATAAATAAAATGCACATAAAACACTAACGGCGATGTAATAAGATAGGCCTTAAAAAGATTAAGAGGATCTGATTAAGTAGGTTTATGGGTGAAAGTTAGGGATGATGCAGGACGGTGTTTAAGCCACGCTGGAAATTACCGACTAATGTTGGGAGCTCACCTCCATCAAGCCAAACTAATACTGAAAATTCAAAAGGAAATGGTTTTAACAGTTAAAGCATTTCTTTATATGTGTTTACTTAATTTAATAAAAGTAATGTAACAAGTGCGACAATACATTCCAAAATACACATATTATACATTAGACAATATACATTCTTACTTACAGTTCTTTATGAATGCGAAACGTGGCCGCATACATTAAGGGATGAGCGAGGTTTTTGAAAATAAAGTATTACGTAGAATATTCGGACTAAAGAAGGATGAGTTATCCAGAGAGGAGTTCAGACGGTTACAGAACACTGAATTGCGTGAACTGTATCCGGGTAATATAATTGAGGTGATTTCATCGCGGCGAATCAAATGGGCTTTTAAAATTGTTGGGTTACTGAATGGTAAACGTTCAAGGGATAGACCAAAGCGAAGATGGGAAGATTGCATTAAAGCCGATCTGAAGGGGCTGGGTTTGGACGGCGAACGGTGGAGGGTGGTGTGTAATAAGCAATTGGTGGTTTCGGCATCGAGCCTTCGGGTTCGCTAAGCCTTTAATTATTATTATTATTATAATGTAACAAGTTCACTATGCGCAGGCACGATGGTGCCTAACTGCTTTTTACTAGCTCCCTCCAACGAATTATTGTTCCTATCGTACACTAAGTAGGGATGACCATATATAATCGAATATATACTAATATCGATATTTTCCTTCCGAAAATTTATCGTCCATACTATCTACTTCGATATCATCGACTATCGATATCGTCCCTAAGATATTTTAATATATTAATTTAAAAAAAATTCTCTTTAACTGTTTATCAGCACCTGCCATGGTATTGACAATCAGCAGATCTGCTGTGATGAGGAGGTTGGCATTATAGCCATGAGGAAGCATAGTACTCAGCAGCACCTCTTTCTGGTCATTATTTACTTCCTTGATTTAGGTGAGGAGATCTCTCGTTCAGCTCCTTTTTAGTCTGCTCCTGATGGGCATGTCAGTCGTAGCCATGTCGTTTATAAGTCTGTTTGTGTGTCCGTGTAGTTTGAGATGAAAACGAGAGTAGAGAGTACGTATTTGTTGGTCGATAATTGGTTGTCGTAAGTCGTTATGTAAAGTTTTGTTGTTGACGTACGAGGGAGCTCCTGTTATAAGTCATACAATTTTGGATTTAAATGACTAGTTTTTGTAAGTGCGTCTTTTTTGCCGAACTGTAAATCTGAGAGGCGTATGTTCAGATGGGTTTGAGTAGGTAAGTGTATGTATTTAGTTTTTGTCGAACTTTCAATTTCGATTTAGAAAAAAGTGAGTACAGTATTTTCAGTCGCTTGTTTAAGGCCTATCGTTTCAATTTGTGGCCCCAGGTCCTTCTGTCGAAAATTAGTCCCAGGTAACGTACTGTGTTTGTCTGAGGAATTTGGTTCTCTCCT